GAATTTATGATTTCCCAGCATCTTTTAATCAATGTCACATGAATGGACACCAACCAGATAGGTGGGGTACAGTTTGTGATTGTTAACTTGAGTGAAAGAATATTGAATTTCCAGTTAGGGAACTCTCCAATGCAGATCCGTTGAAGCCTTCAACCCATCTGAAAGGCCCTAGTTCCAGATCATTACCAGCTCACCCAAGCATATTCCTGGCTTTAGAGAAGGGCTCTGTTTTATCATTAATACTTTAGGCCCTTGGGGAAAGCTCCCAAAGCCTAGCCAGCCTGTACTTGCTCTCCCAAGAATATTCCTCCTCCATGCATGAGGGCCTAAGTGAAAACCTTGTCTGATCAGGTCAGTCCTTACAACAACAATATTTTACTTTCTAAATAGTTGTGATATGGTATCATATTGCCCATCTCTCAAAATGATTCTTTTCCCAAGAAGAAAACTGGAACTTTATGACACACCATGCCTTAAGGTTGGTTGTGACCCTGTAATGCCTCCTTGAGCAGCTTGTTTGAGGCCTGCTGTTTGATATAGGGATGGGCCTAGTGGCTGGTTGTAAATCAAGAGTGTCTCTTTGTAATGGTTTGGAGCCAAATGTCGAGACAATGCTTGTGAATAAATCTACCTTGTAGCATCCTAATCTCTAACAGTCCTGGTTAACATACTACTTATCTTTGGGGTGTTTTAGAGGGAGCTTTTGCTCAACTAAATTGTACTTTGTGAGCCTTATTATTTCCTAAGCTTGGTAAATCCTTTATATCACCAATTCTATTCTTCTATATCACAGCTTAGTAATGGAGTACTATCCAATACATGAAATTTGTTTTTTTTTTACAACATCCATGAAATTAACTGTAAATGTATTTTACATGTAAAGGTTAAATGTAAAGCCCTGAATGCCTAAAAGCTACTGGAGAAACTAGGCCTCTCCAATTTGGCAACCTGCCTTCTATGGATGTACCCAAAGGGTCCAGGAATATACAACTATAAAATTATAAGCTTAAGAGATAAAAATTGACAATCATCAGCTCTAAAGGTTAACACTTAACAAAGGCTGTCTGCTTTACAGTCAGCTTCTCTGTCAACAACTAGGGTTAACTTTTAACCACCTTGCCCCTTATAGCCAACAACTGCCTGGACCAAAGTTAACTTTTAATGGTTGTTTCTATGTGACTCCTTCAGTACCCGCCTCCATGGCCACAGCCCCAGAATTCCAGCATTGGCTGTGGTCTCAGCTAGCTGATAAGCTTTTGTGCCCAGTGGTGTTTTATTTTAAATTTAATTTTTAATTTTTATTTTTCTGGAATAAATTTTGCTTCTGGTTGAATAAACTTTGGAGATCTGTCCCCCATTATTGCATGACCCTGGACCCAACAGGAGTTTTCTTCTAAAATTCATTTCAATCTCTTGGCAATTAATAACAATAAGAAGTGAAGTCTTCACAATAAATTGAATACTTAAAGAGTTATGGTGTAAAGAAGAATGCATCTATGAACACTATTGTTAACTAGCAGAATTTCCTCAGTGGGCAGGTGAAAAACAACAAAACACAACGGTATTAGTCAAGAGACGTTCTTACCCCAAAGCTATGCAGGAACAGATATAAATTATGATAATGACAGAAAGAAATGCCTCTGGCATGTTCATCTTGTAACCACAAAGTCTTACCTAAAATCAAGGAAATGGCACTGTGAAACTATATTGCCTTGGAGCCTAGGATACCTGTCAATCTTCATGTTTCACCTAAAAGATAGATGTATCCATGCCACAATTCTCACACAAAAAAAAAAAAACCAACAAAACAACAACAACAAAAACCCAGTGAACACAAATAGAGAAGACATCAAGGAAAAGCCATCAGCAATGTGGTCACTGCTCTTCTTTGGATGGCTCTGCTGAGGTATTCTGAGCTCAAAACAAGACTCAATTTGCCTCTATGAAGGCTGTCTCAGAAAAAGGCCACAGCTCCTTGAATGCACAACAAGAAGGAGTTCATTTTAACTATCCTTGGCTGCTGTCTCCCTCAGGCCTGTGACATCACTGAAGAAAATTCTATTCTTTCCTTTTTTTAACCTGTTTTTAATTTTAGTTATGTGAATGTTTTGTCTGCATGTGTCTGTGCACAGTATCTATAGAGGCCAGAAGAAGGAGGCGGGAGATGCCTGGGACTGGAGTTACAGCAAATAGTTAGCTACCATGTGGGCTCTAAGAATAGAACCTGGGTCCTCTGTCACAATACTCATGGCTATTCTTTGTGGAGCCATCTCTCTAGCCCCCCTTTATTTAACATTTATTTTATATATTTTATTTAAAAGATATTATACCACATTACCCTATTTTACCTTCACTCCATCCCCTCCCAAATACTTCCCTTCCCACTTTTCCCCTGTAAGTTATGTATGAATAAGTATGCTGAAATAGATGAAGACAACCTACTGAGTCTGGTTTTTTTTTTGTAGCTTTATAAAATAATTACTGACGTCTTGATAGGAAATTTATCTTTTTTTTTGGTTTTTTCGAGACAGGGTTTCTCTGTGTAGCTTTGCACCTTTCCTGGAACTCGCTTTGTAGACCAGGCTGGCCTCAAACTCACAGAGATCCTCCTGCCTCTGCCTCCCAAGTGCTGGGATTAAAGGCGTGCCACCACCTCCCGGCTAGGGAAGTCATCTTAACTAGCCCTGGCTGCTATCTGTCTCAGGGCTGTGACATCACTGTGGAAAATTCCATTCTTCGCTTTTTCTGACTTTTAAAAAATGAAATTATCTGGGTGTTTTCCATGCACATGTCAGTGCACAGTACTTACAGAGGCCAGAAGAAGGCAGGAGATGCCTGGGATGGGAGTTACAGCAAATGGTTAACTACCATGTGGATTTAAAAATGGAACCTGGGTCACCCATACAATTTCTTGTGTGGAAGGAGCAGTGGCCTTCCACTGAGCTGGCCTGCTTGGAGGCAAAAGCAGCTTCATTCTGAGGTTAATATAGTTCATCATAACCATTCATTTAAGAGCAGAGCAAACAGTGCTGTTAAGTGACTTTTCCTTGAAGTTCTCTGTATTTGTGTTCTCTATCTTTTCTATCTGTGAGAATGGCATTGGTACAGTTATCTTTTAGATTGAACATCAAGAATGACAGGTTGCATAGGCTCCAAAGCAATATTTTTTTCACTGTGTTATTTATTGATTTTCAGCTAAGATCTTGTGGTATAAGATGAACATGTCAGAGATGTTTCTTTCCATCATTTTTATAATTTATATATATATGTATATATATATATACATACACACACACACACACACACACACACACACACACATATATATATATATATATATATATATATATATATATACACACACATTTCTGCATGACATTGCAGTAAGAATACTCCTAAATGTCTCTGCTTTTACATTGTGATCATGCTCTGAAGTGGATTTGTTTACTCACCTGTTTAGGAATAGGGAGAATTCTACATGAACATGTCCGGACTTCCTAAGTAAAATCCACATACTTCCTTTGTTTAGGAAAAGCATGCTTTCCTTGCCTCCTGCAGGAAAGAAATTTTTCTCATTTCTTCTTTCTTGGCTGTTGTGATGGCTACTCTTACTAGTCAAACTGACTACCTCTGGAATTAACTAAAACCCAAAGAGTTTGGTATACCTGTGAGGGATTTTTTAAAAATGTTTAGAAATTAAAAACCCATCTTTAATCCTGATCATTTGAGGTGAAATTCACCTTCAGCTGCTTGGTGGCTGTGTACACCTTTAACCCAAGCACTCAGGAGGCAGAAACAGTTGGATTTTCCTGAACTTGAGTCTGGTCTGGTCTACAGAATGAGTTCAGGGCTACACAGATAAACTCTGTCTCAAAAACACCAAAAAAAAAAAAAATCAAGGGAAGTTTAAGATCCACCTTTAATCTGGATTGCACCTCTGATAGCAACCAACATATATAAAGTATATTGAAGGAAGAAGCTCTCTTTCTCTCTCTCTCTCTTTGCCTCCTTGCCCTAGCCCTGGCAACTAAGTTCATTCCTTTACCAGCATTAGAGCCTACTTCCTTGGTATTTTGGTGTATACTGAAGACCAGCTGAGACATCCAGCCTCATGAACTGAACAACTACTGGACTCTTCAAATTTCCATTGGTAGGCAGCAATTGTTGGACTACCTGGACAACAGCTTATAAGACATTCTATTAAATCAACTTTCTACATACACAGAGAGATTCATTCTACAAGTCCTGTTCATGTAGAGAACCTTGAATAATACAGTTGTGTTTTTTTGCACCTGTCCACTGAGGAAGATGTGCTGGCTAACAATGGTGCTCATAACCGCATTCTTCCTAGCTCCATTAATTTCTAAGTATTCAACTTTCCATAAAGAGTACTCTTTATTATTACTTAATTTGCAAACACTCTGCTCTGAATTTCAGGAATAAAACCCCTTAAGCAATGGAGTCATCATCCAGCTCTCTAATGAGAGAAAGACCTATTATTTTATTTCTGATCTAGTTCCTGCTTTTCTTTCCTGGTTGTCTGAAGTCCCTGTGACAAGCGGGTAAAAAGTGCATTCAATTCACCTGACCTCAGTGTGAAACCACCTAACAAGCATCTCTTTTTGTGTGCTTAAATCTCTTTAGTTGTTAATATTCTGGGTACCCTTCCACTTGTGTGACGGGGAATCACTCCACCACACATAGTATAGTAGGCTGTACAAGTTAGCTAGCAACATTGTGTCCAGCGGGATGAAGGGGAAGTGCCTATGGAGAGCAGGAAGAGAGCAGGGTCTGCTATTAGAACCAGGGGCAGGTGCTATTGAAATGCATCTCTCTGTTGGTTCAGAAAAGGTCTGGGTCTGGGGTGGAAGGCTAGGTCAGGAATCTTTGTGCTGTATCTTTAAGCACAGTGTAACCATATGGGAGGTGCTCGTGTCACTCAGGCCTCACTAGCCAATCAGGCCCTCCAGGCGACCTGCCAGTCAGAAATTGTGCAAGGTCCTTCCAGTCACCAGCTTCAGGCTTGGCTTTGAAAAGAAGCTGGCGCCAGTGGTTTTATATGCTCTGCTGTGAGTGCTGCTTCAGGGAGCCGAGCAGAGAGCATGGGAGAGCTGGAAAACCACGATATGGTGAGTTAGGAGCTTATCCCCAGACTGAGAGGGAGGAGCAGCCAGTTGGGCTGTGGGAGCCAGAGTGGTGGGTCCTCCCCTGGCTGGGTGGGAGCCAGTGGGCGGACACAGAGTTCAGCATGTTTTTGCCTGGTTTTGCATGGTCCAGCATGGTCCTGCATGCTCCAGTGTTGTTTTGCGCGGTCCTGCATGGTATTTGCAATTCCTGGGCCTGCTGGCAGCTTCTGTGTAACTTCACTCTGCAGGCTGCATCTGTGCAGAGCATTGGGAGTGGGACTGTACTTTGAAATAATCTTGTTGTTGACATCACTGTGAAATGCCGGTGCCCGTAGTGTTTATGTTGTTGCTATGGAGCAAAGATTTGCCGAATTCAGAGAGTCGTGGTCCCATGTTTTCCGTATCTTCCAGAAGTACTGTACTTTGAACTTATTACATTAGGTTTAGGATCCATTCTGTGGAGCTCATAAACAGTATCTCCTGTATAATGTGGCACTCCACCGCTAAACTGTGATGTAGAAAAGTAGAATTGATGGTAATAGAATTGATGGTACAAGGTAGTACCAGTTGTTAGGAGACATTAATTCACAAAGTAGAATTTAGGTAAGGGAGGGCTGCATCACGAATACCCCAAAGATAAGTAGTATGCTAACCATGCTGGTTAGAAATTAGTATGATAAGGTGTAATTGTTTGTTCCCCATGATTAACCAGCCACATTCCCATAACCAAGGAGACAACCCTGATATACAACCAGCAGGAAGTCCCATCCATCCAAAAAAAAAAAAAAAAAAAAAAAAAACAGCCTCTAAATGCTACTCAAGGGACCATTACAGGGTCACAACCAACATTAAGTCCTGGTGTGCCACAAAGGTATGTTAATTCTAGAACAGGGACATCTCCAGTCTTTTTGAAAAGCAGTTTTGAGTCAAGATCTTCTATGTTGATTGAGATGGACTTGAACCTTGTCTGTAACCACACAGGGCATTGCCCTTATTATCTTCCTGACTGACCACCCTAAATCTTAGATTATACATCTGCAGCACCACAGAGTCCTAAAATTGCCAGATTGAGTCACATAGTGGACTGTCCATTGCAGAACAGGGCAAGGATTTGTGTGTGGAGCATGGCTTCTCCCTGCAGACTAGAAGAGGAGGAACAGTGTACTCTGTACAGTGCAGGGGGAAACAGACTAGACAATAGCTTGATCACAGACTGAAGTTGAAGGCAGTGAGCTGCAGGGGTTTCTGTTACAAAGAAGGACTGATGGGGCATGGTGAGTGACTTTCTCTGTAGTTTTCCTGCATGTATTAATCCTTCCCATGTGAATGAAGACAGACAGAATTGGTGGGTATACAGTTTGGGGAAGATAGCTTGAACTGCTAAGTATTCAGTTCCCAAGTAGAGAACTTTCCTATGTAGATATGTGCAATCCTGGTTGACACACTTCACTCAGAGGTTTGAGACATAGGCCATTGGCTGTAATTGCATGTGTTAGCTTACAACACTCAGTGGCTAACACTTTACATGGGTCAAAGTCATATAGTCTCTTATTAATGGCATTCTCTCTACCAGGGTATTACCTACTCCATTTCATCATCAGTATACCTAAGTATCCTTCCAATTATTTTTATCATTATAAAACATCAATTATTGGTATCATTTTTAAATTCATTTTTTTAAAATGCATTACTGTAAATTTTTTTTTACTGTTTATCAATGTTTCCCAGTGTCAGAATTTCATTCCGTTTTTTCTTAATGATATTTATTTATTTATTTATTTATTTATTCATTTATTTATTTATCTATTTATATCAGTTTAGAGCAGTGGTTCTCAACATTGGGGATCGTGGCTCCCTTGGGGAGATCAAATGACCCTATCACAGGACGACTGGCCAAAGACCATCAGAAAGCACAGACAGATATTTATACTATAATTCCTAACAGTAGCAAAAATATAGTTATGAACTAACAGTGAAAATAATTTTATAGTTGGGGGGTCACCACATCATGAGGAACTATACTAAAGGGTCACAGCATTAGGTAGGTTGAGAACCCCAGGTTTAGATCAGTGTCTCTTGTAGCTCAGGCTTGCCTCACTATATAATAGAGAATTGCATTGAACACCTACTCTTGCCTCTGCTGCCCAGTGCTGGAAAGACAGTCCTGAAAGTCCTTCCAGGCTGAGCCTTGACTGATCTTTGGGAATGCAAAAATAGACCAGTGAATGAGTATCCTCCAACTTCTCTAGATTTTATTGTGAATTTACAAATGAAGTGGGACCTGTGTATGAATTGAGTTCACTGGCCAACTGTAAAGCAGGTGCAGTCACAGCAGAGAAAGGGATGGGCAAGGAAGATCATGAAAGCTTTCCTGCTGTGACTGTATTTGACATTAGCAATGAGTAGTCAGGTAATCCATTTCAGATGATCAATAAATGTTCTGACCAGCCATTTCTTGAGTCCACAGACCAGGCTATCTAGAATCTGGATAAAGAATTGAATTTTCATGGAACCAAATGACTATAGTTACACAGTTCAAAGTAGTAGAACTGGATAAAAATGGTGTGGCCCTGCCTAATATGACTGTGTTTTCCAGGTTTAAGATATATACCCAGAGAGAAATGATGTGAGTAGTAATCGGTGTGCTCTAATATAAATCCCTAGTTTCTGGAGCACATGGCCATGAAGCCTGTTTCAATTTTTTTAACAGAATTATTTGGGATTATAATTACATTATTTCCACTGTGTTATTTCCTGCCTCCAACCCCTCCCATAGACCCTTGTGTTTTAATCCATGGCCTCTTTTTGTTTAACAACAGATATGGTTTGATTGTGACCTGTGTTTGGTTGCAGGACCTCCCAGCTATGAAATACAGGACTGGCTACACTGGACATTGAGTGTGTAATGGAGTGTGCACACATAGGACCCTATGCCTTGGAGGAGGAACAGGAAGTGTTCTCGGAGAGTGGAAGATTTTACTAAATGACAAATTTCTCAGATTAGGGTCCTGTCCAGCCTGCCATAGTGTGGAAGGACCAAACCTGGGAGGGTTTTTGCTCTCTTGAGTTGTTTGATCTCTGTTCATCCAGTAGGGTAACTGCTAATGTCCTGAAGCCCAGCTGGGTGGTCCTAGCTAATGGGGACTCTGGGAAGGCTTAGCAATCAGGATTACCAATAAGAGGTAGTTTACAAGTTCTTTCCTGGATTCTCCTCTTGTTCTGCTGTAGGGAGCTGTAAGGAAGACCAAATGCCATGCCATGGTGAGTGTGGGGGCCACTGTCCCCAGACTAGGAAGATCAGGTTGGCTGAGCTGTCAGAGCTGCTTGGTCTGGGATGGACCATGAGCTTGACTGAGGTTCTGTTTGTCCCTGTGTTGACCTGGGTAGTGGCCCTTGCCCTCTGAGCTTTGTTGAATGTGGATTCCCTGGGGACTGGGAGGCTTTGCCATCCTGGCATGGGAGACTATGAGCTTGTAATATCACTGCCTCATGCTATGTAATTGAGAATTGCCTCATGTATGTAATTGAAGCTTGCCTCATGCTATGTAACTGAGAATTGCTTTGAACACCTAATCCTGCCTCTGTTGCCCAGTGCTGGGTAGACAGTCCCACAAAATCTTCCATTTTGGCCTTGACTGGTCAGTGAGAAGGAAAACTAAACCAGTTAATGAATGACCTCCAATCTCTCTGGCTTTTAGTGGGGTCTTATAGACGAAGAGGGACCTGTGCAAGAATTGAGTTCATAGACCAACTTTGAAGCTGCTAGTGTCACAGTGCAGAAAGGGAGAGTCAGGATGGTGGTTGAGAGCCTTCCTACTTCAACAGTAGTTGAGATTAGCAATGTGGAATTAGGTCATCAATTTTAGATGCTCCATAAATGTCCTGATTGACCATTTCTTGCGGTCCACAGACAAGGGCAATCAAGAATCTGGATAAAGGACTGACCTTATCATAAAACCAAATTGCTATAGTTACAGTAGTTCAACCAAAATAGATCTGGGTAAAATGTTGTGGCCCTGACTAACAGGACTTTTTTTCTGGTTTAAAATGTAGTCCCTTAGATAAAAGGTTTGAGAAATCTTTGATGTGCTCTCATACAAATCTCTAGACTCTGGAGCACATGGCCATAAAACCTGTTTCAACTTTTCAAAATAATTTTTTGAGATTATAGCTACATCATATCCACATTCTCTTTCCTGTCTCCAAGCTCTACCATGACCCCTCATCTTTTTCTAATTCATGGTCTGTATTTCTGTATCAACAGTTACACAGTAACAAGAGTTCCTGTGGAATGTGACCTGTGTTTGGCTGCAGGACTCCCAGCTAGGAGGCAATGGGTAGGCTGTACTCCACATTGAGTGTGCAATGGAATGTGCACACCAAAGATACTTTGCTTTGGATGAGGAACAGGATGCACTCTAGGAGAGTTGAAGAATGTCTACTAAAATACATTCTTTCTCGACTAGGGTCCTATCTATTGGGTGTAAGGGCAGAGCTGGAAGGACTGTGCTGTCTGAGTCATTTGATCTCTGATCAACCAGCAGGGTACCTGCTAATATTTCGAGGCCCAGGTGGGTGGCCCTAGCCTTTGAAGGACTCTGGGAAGGCTTAGCAATGGGGAGTACCAGTGGCAGGTAGCTTGTAGGTTCTTCCCAGACTTCTCCTCTGCTTCTGCTGTAGTGAGTTGTAAGGAAGAAGACAAGCTATACCATGGTGAGTATAGGGTGTTCAGAGAAGGTCTCCTGAGCTGTCATTTTTGCTGGCTTTGGATGGACCATGAGCCAGACTGTGGTTCTGTTCATCCATGTGGTGACCTGGACAGTGGTCCTTGTCCTCTGAGTCTCCCTGTGTATGGATTTTCTGGGGAGGAAGAGACTCTGCAGTCCTGGTATGTTAGGATATGATGCTTGTAATATCACTGTTCATTGCGCACCCAGGCAAGCTTTTGGTGTGTAGTGGGAAGACTGATTAGAAAACTGAAAATCTGGTTTCTGGAAGTTCTG